TTTGACCATTACGCCTACGGGCTACCTTTATTTCGAGTTCGAGCAATCATTCACTCGACTGCTAAGCCTACGGGCTACTTCGACCATTACGCCTACGGGCTGCATTGCATCGAGCTCTAATTATTCAGTCTACTACTAAGCCTACAGGCTACTTTGTTTTCGATTTCGGGCGAGCACTCACTCGACTATTACGCCTACGGGCTACATTATTTCGAGCAAAACTACTCATTTATTCAAATTAAAATGAATACTTGACTATTTAAGCTGAAGGATGTTCGAGCCCGAGAAAGCAAAGGGGACTACCCACAAGGCCCGAAGGCAACAGAGATTTAAACTCAAACTATCTATTTAGTTTGAAAGGCCATTTTTCTTCAAAAAGAAGAAAGATTTATATTTACAAATTCTTTGTATAAAGGTGGCTACTCCTCCAAAAATAAGTTCTTTATACAAAAACCGAAAGCGGTATCAAAAGAACGCATCGATCGACCTAAGGCCCTAAATGACTCAATCTTCATCGGAGGCCATAATCTCGGCATCGTCCTCGTCTTCAGACTCCCCCGAGTCATCGGAGTCCTCCTCAGGAAAGGCCAACCTCCGTGATTTGTTCTCCTCCGCCCTGGCGACTTCAATCTCGGCCCCAACATCGAAGCCCTGAGCTCTGACATCCTCGAGAGCCTCTCTCCAAGCATGCCACTTTGCATTTTCAACCATGCTCGCAGCTTTGGCTTGGTTGACCTCGACATCGATCCTGAACTGAGCCACTTTAGCATCGGCTCTTTTGTTGGCCTAGATCACTTCAGATCTGGCCACTTCGAGTTCTTTGGCCAAATCTGCTTTATCTAAAGTGGCCAAATCCAACCGATGCTAAAGCTCTTTCATCTTTTCGATCAGCCCCAAAGCATTTTCTTTCGCAGATCGTAGTTGGGCATTGGACAGCTCCAATTGAGCTTCGATGGCTTCCTTTTTCAAGGCAAGGTTATCCATACACCTTTTAAATTCTTCTGCCTCGGCCAGTAGCGCATTTACCTATAAGTTAAGCCGTTTAATCTACTCGACCCTCTGCCAAACCTGCAGAATCGGATCGTTAGTGGTTATCTATTTTTCATCTTCACTATCATGGAACATTCAGAATACCTGCTCAGCCATCTCCTCGTGCTCTCCCCAAGCCGCTGTCAAATCTGCTCGAAGTGTTTCACTAAGAAGCTTGTACGAGCCACTCTTCTCAGTGAGGCTCCGAACCTCGGCATCATGCTCCTCCCTGATTCGAAGAAAGGCCTCGTAATGCAACACCAAAGCCTACAAACGAAAGGAGAAACATTAGAATTACCTACAACTCTGTGTGAAAGAAGCGGCAAAAACGTCATCAGAGTTACCCGATTCAAAGCATGTTGGGCCTCGTTGAAGAGACAGACAGGCCCCACCGCATTCATCACTGATGTATCTTCTTCAGTCATCAAGGACCGAAGGTAACTGGAAATCCCCACAGAGGAAGAAAAAATTCGGGTATCCGCAGGTACGGAGAGCACTATCTTCCGCCTTCGGTCGGATCGATACTCGGGGCCGGAAATCGGTCCACTAGTTTATGAATCGATGAAGGCTCGGTGGAACCCGACCATGACACTTTTTTGGGTACCGGCATTCCACCAAAACCGGTAACCTCCTCTGAGGCACCTGACTCGAGCCCCTCCAGAAAACCGTGGATATCGGCCGACTCCTGAATACCCTCATAGGACCGATCCTCCAACATGACGGCCTCTCGAATCATGGCATCCGAAATTTGAGGGGATCCACCAATGTCAACTATCCTGAACTCATCCCTTGAAATATCTTCTACTGCCTGAGAAGATCTACCCTCGGTATCCCTTCCAACCATCTTAGCTCGAGAAGGGACAATCTCGACTTCTTCTTGTTCTGGGATTATGGCCAAGGTTCCCTGATTTGCTTCCACCAAATTGGAAGACTGTTGAATCACAACATTAGCCCGTACGCAGGCTAAATTCTCCTCTCCTTCTTTGGGTTCGTCCCTTGAATGGCAGACCGCTTCCGAAGACATAACACTAGAGCCCCCTTTCGGCTTTCGATGTCTCTTAGCCGGTTTCTTCTTTTTTAAGCTCAGGGAGCCCGATACGTCTTTTCTCTTCCTTTCTTTCACCTGCTTCAGGACAGGAACGTCTTCGCCACCAGATGGCGGCCTCATGAATACATCTTTCCCAAGTCCTACAAAAGGGAAGAGGGAGATTTACCATACAAACCGATGAATAGACAAGTCAACAAAAAGATTTACCATGACTGCTAGCCTCCCATCGACCCTTTGATAATTCGACCCAAGCACGCTTGGAGTACGGTCTCTGCAATACCAAGCTTTTGACCCATTGTCTAAGATCCGGGATCGGTTCCGGCATTCGAGCTACGACTGTGATAAGGAAAAATGGATCAACAAAATAAAAACACAAAATCAAAATGGGCAAAGAGAAACGTTAACTCACGGCTCATGTTCCATTTCTCGGGAAATGGCAAGTCATCGGCAGGGATCAGATCCGAGGTTCTGATTCGAACAAAACGGCCCATCCAACCCCGATCCCGGGTCTCGTCTGGAGAATGGCGCTTTGGTTTCTCGGCGAGCAAGCTTGATCAGCCCTCGTCGATAAAGTTGTGGACTGTAAAGACGCATAAGATGATCGAGGGTGAAGATGCGCCCCTCGACCTTGATCTAGAAAAATCGAAGAAGAATCACTATCTTCCAAAAAGAAGGATGGATTTGGCCCAGGGTCACATCATACCTCTTACAAAAGGCAACGATGACAGGGTCCAGGGGTTCCAACGTGAAAGGATAAGTATAAATAATTAAGAACCCTTCGACATAGGTAGTAATTAATTCATCGGGCAATGGGATTACTACGAGTTTATTATCCCAGTTGTATTCTTGTATGACTTTATCGAGAACTTTTTCGGTGATTGAAGATTGGTACCTCGACATCGACTCACACTGACCCGGTCTCGGAGAAGTCTTTTCAATTTTAAAATTTCCTACTGTCGAACACCCAACCGGAATGAATTCCTCAGGGCGGGGCTCTTCCATATCCTCGCCACCAGCAGGTCAAGATAAAGAAGCGCTCTCTTTTTGCGGAACAGTTTTAGACGTTTTTGCCATTTAAAATTTCGTAAATAAAGAACGGAAGTATTTGATATTCTAAGGAAGAGTTTGCAGTAAAACTCACAGGCTTACAGGCAGAAAACTCAGAAAAGATGAAAAGGAACTTGAAAATTTTGGAAGATTGAAGACGTAAAAATGATGAATGGTGGAAGGAAAGGCTATTTATAGATTAAAGCATTGACAGTTCAATATCGAAGGTGGCCGACCACCGTTTGACACATTAAATGTATCGGTAAAACCGAACCGATGGGACAGCTATCACATACGTCATGGTCGGGATCGATGAAAACGTCAGTATATATCTGATCGAGCTGTTTGGAAATCATATCGTTTCTCGCCACATCCTTTTTCGAGAAACGAGGGGACTATCTGTGTACGGTCAAAATCGATTTGGGTCAGTCGTACGGACTGGTCGAGACGATAATATTTCGATCAAAATATATCTGCATGACAAGCTCGGTCAAGGTTCGAAGTAGGGGCGGCGAGCTTCGAGCTCTAAGACCGATCAATGACAAGCTCGATATCATTATCGAGCTCATATCCAAATCGAACTACGAGGCAAAGCAGAGATTATAGAAGATGCATGGACTGACACTCACCCCGAATACCGAGATCCCAAGTCGGAATTGAGCTCGGACCAAGACCGAGTGCTCGATCCAATACCGAGCTCGAGCTAGTATCGAGCTCGCAGACTAGGACCGTTGCAATCGCACTATGGGAGAGAATCTTTGCGGAAATCGAGAAAAAGATAATATATCATGGGCTCTCCACTACGTATTCTTTATTGTATATAAAGTAGGATCCCTCTACTATAAGAGGGACATGGATTGTAAGCAAGCAAAAGGACACTATAACAAAAGATCATTTCTCACATTGAAAGATATCCCCTTGTGCTTGTTTTACTTTATCTTATTCATTCCTTTTACTCANTCACCAAACTCCTAATCAAAAACGTTCGCTCCGCCCTGTTTTATGCGGTTGAAGTAGTGCCAGCACATAGGTTAGACATGATCTTGGTCTATTCATAGACAGAGATATGATTCATATATATATATATATATATATATATATATATCTTTTATTTAATCGGATGCAACTCGTTAAAAAGAATTTTGTCCCTTTACGCTAAAGTTTAACGAGATCGATTCGTTGCATCCCAAACATGCCTTTATGCTCCTAAAAATCTAAAATTCTCTTTTCTCCCTCTCTCTTTTGCGTAATGAAAAGTTAAATCCCAAACGGGACAGCCACAAAAGAAAAAAATACTATTGTCAAGTCACTCAAAAGACATTTATGTGTAATCCGTCATGCAATCTGAAATTTATAGTATTTGACTTGCTATAACAGATAAATGTAACTTGATAGTACAAAGTTTTTTTTACAGATTTACAAATAAAATGTTGGTAGAGATAGTTATTCAAGAATAAGTGACCAAAATACAATATTGGCTTTGGAGAATTGATTTAACAAGGTCGCAGATTCTTTGACTAGTTTGAGTTTAAAAAAGCATACTTTTATTATAAGTACATCAACAAAACAAAATATATTTGTGATAAATTCACTACTATATACTCCATCCGTTTCAATTTATGTGAACTTATTTCCTTTTTAGTCATTTTAAAAAAGAATAACTACTTTCCTTATTTGAAAATAATTTATCTTTATACAATGATTTATAGCTACACAAAATATAGGTGCCTCATTTTACTCCACTGGTTCAAAAGTCTTCTATCTTTTCTTAAACTTCGTGCTCAATCAAATGGATTCACATAAATTGAAACGGATGGAGTATATGATTTCACTACTATAAGACGAAGATCCAGAGTTAGTGCGTCGCTAGCTAGTAATTAATTGATCTCTATATCCAAATAGCATTAGCCCTTAGAAGCAATTGTTTGAGCTTGCCTCTAACATTAAGACTCATAATCTCATTAGAACCACCAACAAAATCCTTGCCAATGAACACGGCTGGCAAACTTAGTTGACACCCTAATTCAACCAATGTATTCTCCATTTGCCTCCCATTTGGAAGTTTATCGAGCTCATAAACTGTAGGATTTGCTCCGAAACCTCGGATTAGGGTTTTAATACTGTGAGATATGCAGCAACTGCTGTTGCTAAAAATCACCACTGGACTTTCTGCTCCCAACTTCATCACCATATCCATGTTTATACCTTAAGAAAATTTATGGTTTTGACTAGACTATGGCAAGTTAGAGAAACTTTTGTGAAGTTGTGTGTGTAGCTAAAAGAAAAGAAATTTGTATAACTAATTAATTAAGTCTTGATTTGGTATGAGAAATGTGAAATTGTAGAAAGGCTAAATATAAGGCTTAAGGTGGTGCATGGGATCAAAATGAACAGAACAAGAGATTACAGAATTCCAAAAGGGACAAGTAGGTGGATATGCAAATTATTCCTTAATCATCATGTATTGTTTCACAAAGGATCAATTCGTCTTCTCTAGGACTTGATAATTGTGTCACGTTGTAGTCCTAATAATTTCCATAGAAATATTTTACTGTTCGAAATATATTCTTGGAATCAAACATTCTCTTACTACTTTATGACCTGATCCACAAAGAGTATGATTTCGGTATCATTATTTAATATGAAATTAATATGAGAGAATGAGCACGTCTATATACTGTAGTGATTGACAAAATGATCCTTTTTATGTCTTAATCTATTAGTTTTAAAAGTGAAAAAATTGAGTGTATATATCTTTTGGGCAGATCCGTACACAAGGCATCTCGTATTTACGCAGGGTTCGGGGAAGAGTCGCACCCCAAAGGGGTGTAATGTAGACACTCTACCCTAATGCACATCTCGAACTCATGACCTATAGGTTCCACAAAAATAATTTTACCGCTGCTCCTAGACTCTCCTTCGTATATTTCTTCTCAAACTAAAAAGAATCAATATTTTAATTACATTTTTTTAATCCCATATACATAATGGCATCTAAGTATTGATTTGAAAAATGAAAGCCGAGATATCCTATAAACATGCTGTTGCATAAAGTCAATAATATTATCCGTACCAAGAGAAGACAGAAGAAGAAGGAGGTACTATATAAAGAGGTATCTAGATAACTCTGCATGTATTTATAAATTGACTTTGCTTTAATTAGCTGGACTGGAATAAATGCTTTTTCAAATATTCTGAACAGTAAATCACATGATAAGAAGAAGGGTACTACGTATTGTTCTCCTTATCGTCAAGGGATTCTTACCTAAAGAAAAGGGCCTTAATTAGCAAGAAGAGAAAGGATCGATTGCTACTTCGAAAGGCCATATATTATCTCCTCTTTGGTCTTTTTACTGAGAAGAGGTACTATAGGAGAATGATCAGCTACTTTTAGGGGCGGAGCTAGAGTTTAAAATACGAGTTTGGATGAACCTAATAACTGTAATTTAAATTTTGTATTTGTCTTAATAATATAAAAGAGTTAAAATTTTAAATGCGTTAAGTTTCAAATACTAACGTCACCTCTAATTACTTCAATTGATCTCCGCAAAAACTAATTTGTGTGGTCATTTTTCCTCAGTTATTTTTCTTGTTTCTTTGTGGAAGTAAGCCACAAAGAAAGACAGAGAGAGGACGGTCGCGTTAGTGGAATAGGAACCCTCTAGTTAAGTGGTAGGGTGAAACACTATCTTCACTAAACTACAATTCTAATCCAATTTAACTGTTATTTGTACTATATCCTTTTGGTTGATTAGTATATTTTACTCCATTTTAATACATAAAAGACACTATGATCAGCTTCTACGTATCTCAAACGATTTATGTGTATTGGTTGTCCAAACAAAGTCCCACATTGGTAGCTGAAAAGATTGGAAGTCTACATATAAGTTGTAGAGATCTCTTAATGGCGTGAGGCCTTTTAGAGAAAATCATATGGGCTTAACGCAAAACTGTTAATATCATACCATGTTAAGAGTATTGTTTGGCCGTTTTAGCCCAACAACTGGTATCACAGTCTAGATTCAGTGAATGAGTATGTCGATGACAAAGTGATGGTGCATGACTTGCTTTGCTTACCCTTACGAGCTTGAAGACGCACATACAAGAAGGAGCTAGTTGCGGGCTTTGGTTGTCATAATACTTTAAAAATGTAGATGTACACAATGAATCTCGAAAATTGACTAGTTGATCGTGATAACTAATGGGCTATGTGGAACTTAGTTCAAGGGGAAGATTGTTGAGTATGCGAACGAAGTCCCGAATCGACCCCCAAGGCACTGCTTCGAGGTCGGAAATGCGCGACGCCCATCTTGAAGGTCGAACTCGATCCAAGACCGAAGGGCCCGACCCAGTAACGAGTTCGAGCTAGTATC